GTGCGAGAAAGAAAACCGTGTGCATGAGGGATGATGGCGGATTCCCCACCCCCACCCCCAATTCGACAAAACAGGACACTCTTCCCAAACGTACTGAGCAATTCACGCCATGCAAAGAGTCGGTCTGAGCTCAAGGAGTGTGCATCAGAGACGTTATCTCGGTCCGTAGTCGTAGGTCGTGGGAGCGCCGGAGGAGTACATGTTGGCGGCCGCGGCAGCTGCAGCGGCTGCAGCCGCGGCGGCTGGATTCATGTGGTGATGGTGGTGATGGTGGTAACTGTGTCCTCGGATACCGGGCAAGGGGTAGGGGGCTGGCCGGCTCTTGGCTCCTAGATAATGGTCGTAAGCGGAGACCGGATGCTTGTAGGGATGGTGATGGAGAGGTTCGGAAGCAGGGGTGTCCAGGCGCAACTCGTGATGGGGGGGACTAGGCCGGCTTCCAGCTGGACTAGGGAGTGGGACCAAGCCGCCTCCACCAGGAACCGGAAGCGCTGGACTTAACACCCGAGACATGAGCTGCTGATGAGTTGGATCGGCGTGGAGGGGTGTCCTGCTAGCTGATTCCTGTTCGTATTCCCGTCGACTGTCCACTATATCTGCAGCACATGACAGAATAGGGAAAGGGGATCAGGGGAGAAAGTACAAGAAGGGGTCAGCTAAGTGTGACATCTCCAGGACTCTAGGTAGTGGCCTCTGCGGTGTAAATGTGTAGGACAGGAGTTCTCCAACCTTGGCAACTTTTAAGACTTTTGGACTTCAATTCCCAGAATTCCCCAGCTTTGCAGAGACATCTAACTGGCCATCTTTGGCCTGATCCAGCAAGGATGATTCTTAATGATAAATTTGTGCACTGCGTGAAGCCATAATCCATTCCTCATGTTGTGTATATCCAGGTAGGCTGTTCTGTTCTTTATCGCATTCTGTTTGTTGGATATTACTATAATGCGTTGTTTCATAACCTCAGCATATTTAAGATATGTGAACTTCTACTACCAGAATTCTCCACACGGTATGGCTGACTGGGGAATTCTGGGAGTTGAAGTCTACAAGTCTTAACATTGCCAAATTTGGAGGCCCCGGGTGTAGGAGATCAGGAAGCTGAGCTGCAGGGTGGGGTTAAATGCAACATTAGTTTGGAATCTGCCAAGTCCAGTCTCCTGTGAATTCTATTCACTCTTATCTACCACCAATTTAGCTTGACCATTAGTAGACCAGATTCTTGTGTATAGATGACAGGAATAAACTTCTAGTGTTTTGGACTCAACTTCTGTTTCTGATTATTTGTGCCTGACAAAGTGTGAACCATTGCACAACTGGATGGCTCAAACTCACAAGTAAGGCTACAGAGATATCTGCTTCCATCTACTCATCTAAAACCCCCATTTTGAAACTGGACACACCACCCCAATATTTTGATACTTCTGCTCCTTTGGAAAAGGGTACAAAGAGGTTGGTCTTAAAGATATTGCTAGAGCGGACACCGTTATTGTTGGTAAAAGTTTGTTCTTCGCTTGTTCTTCTGCTACATCTAAACATTCACCCTTCAAGGGTGACAAGAAACACCACCAGGTGTGGTAGCTCTATACTGGCAGTCGTCGACTTACAATAATTCATTTGGTCACTGTTCAAAGTTACAATGGCACTGAGAAAAGTGACTTGTGACCGTTTTCCACACTTAGGACTGTTGCAGCAACAGTCACATGATCAAAATTCAGGTGCTTGGGCACCTGACTCATATTTATGATGGCTGCAGTATCACACGTTCCCCTTCAGAATAGCAAAGTCAAGCGGGAATCCAGATTCAATGAACAACTGTGTTGTTCACTTAACAACTGCGGCCCGGAAGATTGTGAAATGGAACAAAACTCTTTGTCTCAATAGCCACAGAAATTTTGATGCTCGGTTGTAATTTGCAAGTTGAGGATTACCTGCATTGCAAAGTCACACTAACAGAACCTTGCAAAATTGAAAGTATTTCCCCCTCTCCATCTCTTCTACTCTCCGGAAAAATAGGGAGGGTCCCTTCTGAATTTTTTTTTTCCCACACCCTCTCTCCTTCTGCAAGCTGGGAAATCTTGTCCATGCTGTTTGTTCAGTCTGCAGCTCTTCCTCCTCCCTCAAGGTCATTCTCGCATACCATTCTCTCTAGATAGCTACAAGTTCCCCTTCACCTAGGCTTAGGAATTTCTTGGCGTGTATCCAGCCTTCCCTGAGTAAACCAGACAGGAAACCTGTCTAGATGAACTAAACTTCTATTCTATTTATTTAATGTAAAATCACATTAACGGCATCTCGCAGGCCCGAAGGTACTAAGTTCCCACCGCCCCTTTTAATTGCCTGAGCAATTATGGTGGGTCCTTCCTAAATTTCTTCCTCTGCTTGTTAATCCACTGTCGCTCTAGACTGATTGTGTCCTGGGCAACGTCTTTTCCCCTCGTCCCCCAAGGTCACCCCCATATTGCATTACATCATGCCATAGATCAGTTTCATTCTGATCCCCTTCCTGTTCCCCTGACACGGCAGAGGGAGAAATAGACTTTACAATAGAAGTATAAAAAAGGTGTAGGGATTGGGGCCCCTATGCAAGGACAGGTGCAGTGCCCAGGTGTTTCCCTCCATTAGGTCCAGCATCGCTGTCTACGCTACAGAGAACAGGGTCAAACTACACAACTTAGGGCTAACCTTCTATGTTTTGGATTGTAGGATTCTACATTCAGTGTAGAATTGAGTGTCAACATCAATTCTACATTCAATGTAGAATGCAGAAGGCTAACTTTCTATATTCTGGATTGTAGAATTCTACAATGTAGAATTGACTGTCAACATCAATTCTACATTCAAAGTAGAATGCAGAAGGCTAACCTTCTACATTCATCAACACTGAATCATCTAGTCTACTTTTGGCTCCTTCTTTCACATTCTTCATTTTGTGGATGGTTCTGGGAGAATAGACCCCAGTCTTAAAAAGCTTCTAGGTTGTCGTCTTTCACCAAGGTGGGAATTGCTAACCTAAGCAACTCTAGTCTTTCTGTGTGTTCTGGTCACAGAGCTATCTTCATCTTCTGATGGAAAGATGGAACTATCTCAGGTGCTTTAATTCAGATGCAAGACCTTCTGATCGGTTGTGATCCACCAAAGTGGAAGCTTAAGATATTAAACTGCTTGGTCTTTAAGCTACCTCTGGACCAGTGGTGGGATTCAAATTTTTGTGCTACCAGTTCTCTGGACGTGGCTTGCTGGGCGTGGCAGGAAAAGGATACTGTAAAATCTCCCGTCAGGTGGTGTTTGCTGGTTCTCCGAACTACTCAAAATTTCCGCTACCTGTTCTCCAGAACTGGTCAGAACCTGCTGAATACCACTTCTGCTCTGGACACCTCAGGGTTATAATGTCCCAACAAATCAAGAGAATATTGGGTCCAATTGTTCTTTTTGCTGGAATTGTGTATGTCTAGTTTAATGAAAAGAAGGACTAGGGGGACAATATTTGAGGGGCTGCTACAAAGAAGAGGGAGTCAAGCTATTCTCCACAGCACCTCCAGGCAGGATGAGAAGCAATGGGTGAAAATATATCAAGGAGAGAAGCGACCTAGAACTAAGGAGAAATTTCCAAACAGTGAGAACAATTAACCAGTGGAACAACTTGCCTCCAGAAGCTATAAATGCTCCAACATTGGAAGTTTTTAAGAAGAGATTGGATAACCATTTGTCTGAAGCGGCAGAGGCTTTTCCTGTGAAAACAGTGGGTTGGACTAGAAGACCTCCAAGGTCCCTTCCAACTCGGTTGTTCTACGCTTTTTTATGTCTCCTGCTCTGAAGTCACCTGGAGATTCAAAATATATTTTCACCCCTACCTCCGCGACAAGGCTCTTCCTTGGAAAGCCACCGCAGTGTTTTCTCCTTAAGAAGGAAACAAAAGGAGACTTCTCAGGGTGTGGGTGGGTGTTTGTGTGTGTGCATGTGTGTGTGTGAGAGAGATTGAGAGAGAGAGAGAGAGAGAGAGTGCCTGTACAGGTATGCACACCGTGATTGCTTTTCAGACCCAACCGTCCGACGTGAACAGAGATGAAGGGAAGAATGCAGAAATATCCCAGAGTTTAGGTTTCCTTCTCATTCTTTCTTTCTTTCTTCCTTCCTTTCTTTTTTTTTTAAAAAAAAGATGAAGTGTTTATAGTGTTCAGGCTCCCGAGACAAGGCATTTTGACTTTGATAAATTGAGCAGAGTTGAGTGACACGTTTGCACACGCCTGAAATTTTTGCAATTGTATAACGCTAAACAAATACAGCCTCCCCCCCTCTTTCTTTATTTTAATAGGCCCGGAGTGCGCTGGGAGAAAAGGCCTCCCTCTTGTTCTTTTTCTTCTCCTGAGAAACTGTTTATTCTGCGTAATGGAAATAGAATCAGCGAGAAAGCTTAAATAGATATCTGGGACAGGTTTTGGAGGAGGTTAAAAGCAATTACTGGGTATTGTGGGGTTTTTTTTTCTTTCTTTTCTTCCATCCTTCCTACTTTTTCTCTTTTTTTTTTGCAACTTCTCCTCCTATTAGTTCTTTTGTTTGCTTGCTCAAGAAAACTGCTTATGTTACAAAGCTCTCATGGAAACACCGGGAAATTGTTTACAGGTTAAATTAACATTAAAAAGATACATAAGGGGGAAAAAAATGAGTCATATTTAATGTGAATTGGTTGTAAGTTTACACAGGAGGCCATTATATATCTATATCTATCTATATATCTATATCTATATCATCTATATCTATCTATCTATCTATCTATCTATCTATCTATCTATCATCTATCTATCTATCTATCTATCTTGGCCTGTGTTTATTGGTCTTGGAGTTTGCTGTGTTCTCTTTTGGGTTTCTAATATCTTCTGTTTTGTAGCATTTTTTTTGTCTTGATTGGCTGGCAACACTGTGTTTCATGTATTGGGGGCTTTTAGCGCAGCTTGGCTTCGGGTGAATGGCCAGCTATCATTTATTAGGAAGCTAGATTTCATCTGGGCTGTGTTTGGGCTGGAGGTGTACACACACACACACACACACACACACACACACACACACACACACATATACATATTCATATACACCTCATAAATTGTGCTCATACCACTGCTGGATCTGGTTAGTTTTAAACCTAGCTTGGTGGCTTTTGTGGCTTCACATGACATGCTTAACCTGGAGGCTGTCGGTCACTCCGTGCATTTTGCAGGAAAAAAATGGGCTCCAGCAATTGTCTAACCTTCAAAATATTTCCCAAATGACACTGCCTTCTCCCCAAATAAACAGGCCCCAGAATGTTTCTTTGGACAAACCGAACTGCCACTGTTAAATTTCACGCTCTTATTCCTCCAAAACAGGATTCTTTACATCAGGGACAACAATGTTTGCTTGTAGGGACCTGTTTTTTTTTTCTTTTCAGGTAGACTCAGAGCGCTAGATGGAGATCCAGCTAGTTGGATCAATGTTGCTTCCCCCCCCCCCTCACCCCCGCTATTTACAAAGCTGGCTGTCTTGGGAATTAAGTCCTTTTGATGAGTTTGCAAGGAGATGCATTAAGAGCAAGAAAATTTCCCCCAAAGAATAACCAGATCAGCCAGGGAAAGAACAATAAAAAGAATATCAGCTCCTAAGAGCCCAATAAAGAAGAGCGAACTTCCATCTCTAAATCCTGGTTAGACGTTCCGGCTTTTTGTGAGCAAAATGTTTTTCTTGTAATCCTCTAAAGGAGACTGGCCAATTGCCAAGCGCTGTGTCTTAACTAGTTAGCAGATTTGGCGGTTCACCGCATTTAATGGCAGGTTCCTATGCGTCACTCCCTTAAGACCCAAGGGGACAATTTCAGAGGGCGCAGCGCACAGAGAACCAAATCCTGCATGGCCGGGCTGAGGTGGACTCTACAGGGGTCAGTCTTAGGGCCCTGTCTACACAACAGACGTGGCTGGTTTCATGGAGCTGAGGGCATCAGACTGCTGCCTTGCATTTCGGGCAGCGTTGCCTGGAATCCACGTTAATCTTGGAATGGGTTGAGTTTGGTACTTTTAAAATGATTTTATATGGCTTTTAATTTAATTTAATTTTTTTTTTAATTTAAGCCGCCCAGAGTTGGATGGGCAGGTATATACATGTTTTAAATAAATGGATAAAATGATAGATAGCTAGATGGATGGATGGATGGATGGATGGATGGATGGATGGATGGATGGATGGATGATTGATATAGAGATAGATAAAAGATTGATATAAGATGATAGAGACATAGCAAGATAACAAGATAGGTAGGAAGTTAGGTAGATAGATAAATAGATAGATATTGTAAGATATGATTGATAGATAGATAGATAGATAGATAGATAGATAGATAGATAGACAGACACAGAGAGAGAGAGAGAGATAGCAAGATAGATATTGTTGGTAGATACTGTATGTATGTATGTGTGTGTGTTTGGTGTGTGTGTATACACACATATATACATCAAGAGAGAGAGAGAGAGTGTAGATAGATAGATAGATAGATAGATAGATAGATAGATAGATAGATAGATAGATATAGATACATAGATCAACAGAAAGATAGCAAGATAGATAGATGATAAATATAGATAGATAGATAGATACTGTGGATGGATATAGATACAGATAGATAGATAGATAGATGGATGGATGGATGGATGGATAGATGATAGATAGATAGATAGATAGATAGATAGATAGATAGATAGATAGACAGACAGACAGACAGACAGCAAGATAGGTAGCAAGATAGGTAGCAAGATAGATAGATCGATAGAAGATAGATATAGATAGATATTGTAGATGGATATAGATACAGATAGATAGATAGGTAGGGAGGTAGGTAGGTAGATAGATAGATAGATAGATAGATAGATAGATAGATAGATAGACAGACAGACAGATAGACAGACAGATTTAGAGCATCAGATGACTGGGCGTGATGAACAGGGAATTATCCATAGAGAAATGACAAAGCTCCCCTTTTGGGCTACTGTTTTCCTGTACAGCTGTGACTATCAGAGGCTCAGGGCGCAGGTGGGAAACTCACCTTTGTCAGTTCCGTTTTGGTGCACTGGGGAAGACACGGGATTTCTCGACCGAGCAAAGGCGCTCATAAGAGGCAGGGCTCCTGGTCGGTGATTCCTAGGCCTGTTATGGGAGAGAGAGAGAAATCAGAACATGGTTCTGCTCTGTGACCGAACAGGGGGAAAGATACCTAACTCATCTTTCACGTCAAGCTTCCTGCAGAGGGGTACTCTGTTTTTGCATGAATTGTATTTTTGTAGGAGCAGATTAAGTTCCACATCTGAGTCAAGCCAGGGATGGGCCAATCAATTAAGATGTTAGTTAATAATTAATTGGAGGACAATTAATCAGTGGAATGACTTGCCTTCAGAAGTTGTGGTGCTCCCTCACTGGAGGCTTTTAAGAAGAAATTGGGCAGCCATTTGTCTGAAAATGTAGAGGGTCTCCTGCTGGGGCAGGGGTTTGGACTAGATGACCTCCAAGGACCCTTCCAACTCCTTCCTTCCTTCCTTCCTTCCTTCCTTCCTTCCTTCCTTCCTTCCTTCCT